GAACATGGGGGTCCCTTTTAAAGAGTCTTTTAAATGCTCCCTCAATTTGGTTTTTGAGGAAAAAATTAGGGCTCATAAAAATTTTTTTGATAACTTTAATTTAAAAGGAAAAATTGTTCGGGGTTGAATTGTTAAAAAGCATCTTAAAGATAATGTATGAAACATCACAAAAAAATTTAAATTTATACTGATACAAAAAAAACAAATGGTTTTGTTGGTTTCTTTCTCATTTTGGGTACATGTTTTAAAATATGACTGTGATCATTACTGCAAGCACGACGTTATAAATACCAAGGGGTACTATTTTGATAATTCGAACTGAAACATGTGGTCGAAACAAAAACAAAAACGCAATGCAAACAAATCTAAGATTTTTCCTTGTCCAACTTGACTAAATTTCAAAAGAAAGTTACAATATATAAACATGAAGAAGATTAATTCATCTTGTGAAACACCAATCCTATAAATCATTTTACCGTATCGATATTTCTTCTACACAAATACAATAAACAAACTTTATATCATGCTTTGTAACAAGCGTATTATTGTTTCATTCAATATTGACAGCACTTAGAGAGTAACGCAATAGAGTATTTTCTTGTCATTTATAACATTGCCATATTTTGCTCCGTAAGTATTCCTTTTTCTTAATCAAAACTAAAAGCAGAGGTCCCCCACAAAAAAAACAAAAACAAAAACAAAAAAAATGAAATAATAACAACAAACCATTTGCCTGACCAAGAAAATGTGAAGGTAAACGATAGAGATTCGTAAAGACTTAAGTTTTCATGACGTATGATTTATTAACCTTTAAGACATAAATGAGGAAAGCTTTAGCACAGAAAATTAAGTACCTACTCAGAATCAGAAGGAAGGAATGGAGTTATAAGAATTGTACGTACTCCATTAGGACTGATATAATGTATTAGGTAAACACGATGGTTTTGCCTTTATGCTTCTTTAAGAAAGCAAGAATAAAAAGCCTTGAGGCATAACAAAGGATTAACAAACAGTGTTAATGTTTTTTATGAATCATTTTTAAACAAATTACAAGATAACATGAAGGATGAACAAAATTACTCTTGTTTTAATGACACATAAATGATAATGCAGTCTGAATTGATACCAAAAAGGAGAACATCCTTAGGCGACTCAAAACAAGTTATTATCAGAACTTTATTCAGAAATGCTTATGTAAAACATTTAAGTACCAGAGATAAAACATAAACTATGCCTTCAGTTATTAATTTTCAATTTAATTTTTAGAGACGGAATGATGTTTCGTTGTGCTTAACAGCATTTAAATTATTGCAAACAGTAATTGAAAATTAATGAAAAACGCAACCTTTAATGTGAACCTGAATTTGCAACATTGCAATTATTTAAGAAAGTGAATTTGATTTCTTTGATAGTTATCTAAAGCAGACTAACAGAGTGCTCATATTCACATGTTCTCTAGAAAAAAAATCAGTTTCATAATTTGATTTAATTATATTTCAAGAAAATGCACAATCTTAGCAATTTGATATTAAAGATGCATGCTATAAGCTATCACATTTATAACGTTCAGTGGAACACACGTATTCATATCCAGATTTTGAAGTAAGTTATATATTAAACATGTATGTCGTAAAACTATATTATATTGTCCCCTGTGTTACAATGAATTATATATTGAATTGTTTCTATATCAGCTACAAATGTTATCCCTTATTATAGATATCATGATTATTTAATAAGATACGTATAAAATCAAAAGGTATACAAAGAGTGTTTTGGGGGTAATTAATATAATTTCTTTAGTAGGAAGTATGTGTCCCATTAAGTAGAAACCGCTATAGAAATTTAATAAATAAAAGTTTAGAGTACAAATAACACTGACTCGTGATTATATGCACCGATTACACGTAGAACATAATTAAAAATCATTTCCCTTTTTCAATAATACTTTTTAGGCCAAAAAGGGGAGTGCCAGAGAGTACTTCCGGGAAAATTTAAATTAGGAATTAGGATACTCGTGCAGAAAATAGAAATGTTTCATGTTGGGAAAAGTTTACATCATTTTATAAATTTACACATGGGATTCATTATCAACACCTTTCCCCCCTGTTAGGATTTCATTTTTAAACTTTATCCAAAAAAAATTTTAGAATATGTGTATACTAGGTCAAGAACTTATATTTTATAAGATTAGTATCATGATTACATGACACAATGGAAAGGTATGATGAAATAATTGATGAGGTAACGATTAATTTGTCTCAAAACATGTGAAGTCTCAATACTTTTTCGCGCTGATTTAGATCTTTCTTCAAAATTAAAAAAAAAACAAAAACAAACAAAAAGAAAAACAAAAAAACTGGATACATCTCTAGCAACAATTTAGGACTCACTTGCATTTGATTACATTCGAGGAAATGGATACTTTAAAGGGATAAAATAGAAAATTAAAAGATGCGTTGAAAGGAGAAACCCTTAAGAAACAAAAGATCTTATGTAAATAATCAACAAAGACAAAAATAAAAAGCATAAACAAATTATAATAATGGAATCAGTCGTCCAGGAAAATCTATTAAATTTAGATAAATTTATACAATAATTTGAATACGCAATCTGATTTGATTCCATCACAGATAGATGATCTAGATAAAACAAAACGTTTTCCCCAACAATGAGTATTCATGAACTTATTATCATTCACCGATGATGAATAAGACCAATTGTTAACCATTTATTCGCTAAAACTTAAAGTCTATACAATATATATTTGTTGTACAATCTCAAATAAGACGCATTTACATGCTATTCGTCAGAATATGCTATTTTGTTGCATAATAATTTACCAATACGAAATTATGGATGAGGAATACGGGGATACCATAAGACCCTAATATTTAAAAGGTATGGGAACTACAAATATAGCTGTTCTTAGTAAACTTGGTAAAAGTCCGTTAGACGTTGTTCGTTAAGGGAGAAAATTGAAATATTTGTATAGAATTAAGAACTGTCAAGATACATTGATATATTAATGTTTCATCCATCAGGTTAATTCTAATTTAATCATGGGCTAAGTAACTAATACCTGCACTCCAGTTAACGCATTGTGCATGTATATCTATACGATTTAACTCGGACACAATTTCAACAGAAAGGTCCCCAAACTATGATACAATTGTTTAATATAAGATATATGTCAGACATATTTTGATATAATGGTATTACTATTACACACATGACGACGATGCTCATGCGAATGTAACCGCCGCAATTGAATGTATGTCGATGAATATGTAATATGTTTATATACAGCGTATAACATAATTTAATTGAATAGAATTACGAAAGTTGAACTTTTCAAATATTGTCAGTATTTGCCTCTTTGTGGCAATTTTCTACGCTGTAAAACTAATTATGAAAAAATAGTAAACTAATTGTGAGTACAATAAAAGAAATGTAAAAAAGTATACACATATTTGCGTATACGAGGTTATAACATTTGAGACCGAAACAACTTAAATAAGTGCCCTAAACTAGAAATATACTACCCATCAGAACAGCACATTTACACAATTTATTCGTTCTGTATGTTTTAATATAGGAAACTGAAACGAGTTTGTTAAGAATTCTCATCTAAATATTTCATTTGTTGGCCATACATCTTTATAGAATCGAGCTAGAAATAATTAATAAAGTTCTGTTATAAAATCGAAAAGAATATGTCATTCAAATATAAAACAAACAGTTATAACTATGTCATTACTGACTTGAACATCATTTATCTAAATTTAAAAGAAGAATAATCATCAACATCATCATCAACATCATCATCTCACACTTGATTTTTGAGTTATGATATCCTTAGTTTAGTGATGCATTTATATGCTGATGTCATCTTTTTTTCTTTCACTTGCCATCTCCTTACATTCCTCCATCTTACTTATTTAAAAATAAATTCCCTATAAAACGCATTAATAGTTCTTCCTTCTCTTAAAGCGTTAGAAAATTTTCTTTTTATTTTGTTCATGGATCATATCTATAAATGGTTGAACATGTCTGAATGGTGTTCTAAGATTTCTATATTCTTTAAATTTTGCTATTTTAACTTCCTTATTTTCCTTGCGCAGTGCTTTACATAAAATAGACATTTGCTGGTATTCTGTAATTCATTTTATGACAAACTTGGTTACATTTAAAATGTTCTTGCAGATTAATACTCATTTCTCTTTGTTTGATGATACTGCATGGTTTTCGTTTTATATAGGTATACTATTTATTTTCCGTCAAAGTAAATTGCTTTTCTTAAACAAATAAAAAGTAATCAGTATACTATAATAATAAAACGTTTTGCTGTTAAATAATTTTGTTAAAAGTCATTTAAAATAGACGAAACAGATCATGGAAGTGCAATATTAGTTCAATGAAATATGAAAATAAACATGCATGATTATAACTGGGTGCTTTTAAACAAGAACAAAAACCTTCAAAAATTATCAACATTTGCAGAATGATATTAAATGTTACGATTTAACGATTTATTTAACTACACACATTTTCTTAACACGTTTCATATCTAGTCTAGTTTAGTATATAAAGTATTTTATAAGCTCGATATTGTTGAAAGTGTTTCAAGCAAAACTGGTTGTAACTGAGATAACATTTTCTTCCCCCAATGAGGCTCAAACTCATGATGACTAGGCCAAGAGGCAGATAAATAATTCAACCATGCGCTCCCTTTTGTACGTTTATACTGAAGTGGCAAACATACTATCCGTTACATGGAAAATTTGGATACCCGTTTGAGACTCATTGTGTCTAATGTTAGTGCATAATAATATATAAACATTTTCTATTAAATCGGCATGAATTTTGAGTCTGCCTTCTTCAAAATAGTCACGTTTGTTTGCGGGTTTACAAAATGGTTTTCAAGACAGCCAAAGCACAATTTTATCTTAATTTAGAAATATAATTATATAACTTTAATAATAAATTAAATTACTCACTTGTACTATTGTCAATAATATCCACAATTTCTAAATGCTCAAATAATTCTTTGCTGCAATCTGTTATTTTCTCCATATTTTATTCTCCAATAAATGAACAAACTTCCCAGAAACATAATACGATTTTCCTACAGAATTATACTTTAAACATCTGTACACATTTTCCAAGTTAAACAATAAGTGGTTGGATTTCTTTAAAACTTTAAAAAGTAATGGTTTTGCGGGAACTCAATACTTTTTCATCTGATCATTTTACGTTCAATTCACAAGAAAAACTTGATATTTGTCTTTAAATATCACATCAATTATGAGCTAGTCTTGCAGATAAAATGTTCCTTTCGGACAGTAATAGGTTTCTGAACGTAATAGATGTCTTCTTAGGATTACTGAATTTTCTAATAATTTGATCAAATAGGACAATTCGAATTAAAGCTGCCACTCTATTCTACTGTTTGGAATTTAATATAAACCAGACTTGGAAAATTTGCTGTCAAATATACACTATTTAAGTTTCTTGTATTCTTATTTTACATATATTATGTCTTTACAATCCATTCATGTGACTATTTAAAACAAATAGTTCGAATATATTTGAATTCATAAGCATAATTGCCTTACACAATATATCCATTGAATTTCACATCTTAATATACTGTAAAAATATCGAAGATTATTTCCTCAAAAATAGGATCCATAAACATAGATGCTTAATTTTTCCTCTCAAAACTATCAACTGGGAAGAAATCTTTGTCTCCAAAAACAAAACCGTAATCATTTTGAGCGTGACATAATTTAATTTTACTCTTACACACATCACCACGCGTCAATATTACAAAGCTTTCTCAGAACAAGTCAACGAACGTCATTTTTTGTTACTGATTTGAAAGAAAGGATATTTCGTCTGTGTATCTATATCTCTAAAAAGGAAGTCCGCTGGCAATATTAGTACAATCGGATAAAACGTATACACTATGAATCGGCTTTATGAAATCTTCAACGTTTTTTGTCCTGATTAATTTCTTTTACGAAGCCAGCCAAGATATGCTAACAAAGAACTCGCTATATTTCCTGCGACTGACAGAATTATCCCTCAAAGGAGAGTATCCCTTATTTGCACGATGTCGTGATTGAAAAAAAACTTTGTGAAATTTGTTGGACCTTTTCTGGAATCACTCCATGTTTGAAATAATCTTTGATTTACAGCAGATGTTATTGATTTCGAAAAACAGTTTAATTTCTTTGACTTTTTCTTTTTCCCTGGATAAATTAGTGTTAATTCAATTATTTGTTTTGAATGGTTCGTAAGTATAAATCGTAATGCCATTTCTGTGAAAGCTTACCTGAAAATATAATATTTCTTGTTGTTTCAGTGGTTTTGATTTATTGAAACATATTTACTGCAGTATGGTAAAATATTGTCAAAATGTTATCTCGGAACCACACGAATGACAAAAACTAGTAAGCTTCAAAATGAGATATATCTTGAAAAGTTTGAAGATCATAATTAAGTACATATATTTGTAAAAGAGATACATAATTTAAAAAAAGATATTTTGTTTTCACAATGACATAATAAACATATTAAGAATATAGATTATAAATGTGGCCCGATCAATGACGCAAGTTTGAAAAAAGAAAAATGGAAACCTTAGAAAATAATCTGACACAAATTGACAATGGTGCAGGCTCGGTTTGATTTAGCCTAATCACGAACAATAGTGGCGCGTGCTTGCCTCAAGCACCGGCCTAAACGGAATGCAACAGTATAAAGGCATGAACATATCTAATACTTTTTGTAAATACTTAAAACACTTTACAAAATCTTAACAACATGTTATTCTTCCGTTTGATAGCCTAGATGTCGATATGAACATAGATGCCGATGAACATAGATGCCGATTAACATAGATGCCGATGAACATGCATTGATACATTCTACGTCTTTATAACATCTATAAAACCTACTGAATTCATCAATTTGTTTGTTATTGCCATTCTCATGTTATTTTATCGTTTTTTTTTGTAATTGCTTATATCGTTTAATGGATATATGTAAAGTAACAATTGAGCCGTTTTAAAGCTAAGCTTTTTGATAACGTGGTCACGTTTCTGTTTGACCGTGTACTAATAGAAGTGTCTCCTCTCATTACATAGATGAACGCACACAGACTTAATCCATTTGACGGTGACATTTTCATCTACTTTTGATAACTATCTGTTTTTGTACTAAAGTGCTATAGCCATTTTTTACATAAATATGGCAAGACATTACGTGTAACGTTAATTATATCATTGAATTACTTAATAAATATTATGTACACGCTTTCTAGTGTGCAACATGTACTCGAATTATATCTGGTGTATACATTATTTAAGGATTATTTATTTGTTCACATGATTAAGCAATGTATAATACAAATCACCTTCATAATAATCGAAAATGCAAAAGAAAGAAAAATAAATAATTATAAATAAATAAATAAACCCTTTCATATACCCAAACACATCAGCAGAAACAAATATAAAAATTGGCTCCTATAATAACAGAGAATGTTTTGACATGTCCTATTTTAAATCAACATTCATTCATTTACATTGTAATTACATAAACGTATATTCATCACATGATTTAATTAAAATTACAATTTTATTCAAATTCAATCAAAGAACAGCTTTACATAGATGAAATTTTATTTTTAGTCTTAATTATCTAAACTGTGTTCTTGGGTTTAACAACAGCCTTCTGGCAAACGTTAATTAGCGCATTGTTCAGGGGACGCCCACTTCAATGTACTTTTTACTATACTCTCAGATTTCGTTAACAAAACTCTATAACTAATAAATACAGTATCCTTGAGGACAATGGTTAATTTGTTATTCTTTGAGTATTTTACTATTTCAGGACATAGTTCAGGAAGCACTGTTATTAACATTCCAGAAACATGTGTTTACAATCTTTTATCCGGATCAACATTTCTCAAAAATTGTCGATTGTAATATGGTGATAAATAAGATTATTGTTTTGATTATTTTACAAAGCATATTATTCGTAGGCAATATTCTTCATCTAATTCATGAGACGGGATTTAATTATGAAAAGACTTATTCTTGTTATACATTGCATTACATTAAGTAAATCCTTTGTATTTATCTGGCAGCAAACACTTGAAACGCGGAATTTAATAAAAAATAATCTAATCTTTAAAAATGGTAAAATATTGTTAATGAAAACAATTAATTTCTATAACATCAAATAATAAATATGTTGTAAAGAGTTATTACAAGCTTCGTAATAACTTCTTTGCAAATTCCTTATTAATTTTATTTTATACTACATTATAACTGGCAGCAATGAATATATAGGGTAAGAGATGGAATTTGCTACTTTTAAAGATCTGTAGAAAACTATTAATTACCTACATTAGGAGAAAATATCACCTGAAATAGAACACGCCATAACCATAAAAAATCAGGGGGAGGGCCGATCGCTAATGTTGTAAGAACTTGGGCCCAACCCTTTTGCTATTTGTTATTTCGAAATCAATTTGTTTCTCTGTATATTTACATGTATATATTAGCAATAAAATATGATTAAACTAACCATAAAAATCCAAAACGGTAAATAAAAATGTTTGATTGAGTCTATCTTTCATTGACGGCAGTGATGAGCTAAAATCTGCCATCCACGTTCCGTATCACGAAATTTTCATTAGAGAAATCGTTCACAGGTGTGTGCATGCGACGGTAGCAAAAGACAGTTCAATTGTGCAGTTTCGTGAAAAACGGATGTTTCATAAATAAAACTAAGTTAAACTAAAACAAAACGCAGAAACTAGAATATATAGTCGGAACTGAATAAAAGGATTTTTAAAAGGGGATTTTGAAGTTTCGAAATCTGCTTACGCATTTAAAACAATTGAACATATCCAGAGGGTGTAAAGACACTAGCCAAGTAGAAATACTAAATCAACTCCATTCTATAACATTCAAGAAATTAAACATACATAAACACAACAATAATGCGTGTTGAACAATCTTCAAAGATCAAATTATAACATCTCCTTTTGGATTAACTGGGCAAGATTGTACAGCTTTCATGCAAAAATAACAAAAAAATAAATAGATAAATAAATAAATAACATTCATATCTGAAACCTGACAGAACGGTATTTTCGCAGAGTATGTCTAATTCTAGCAAACTGTAGGGATTCAAATCGCAGATAGTATTTAATGCATGATCGACGGGCATGCGTCTGACAGAAGTTTTATGTATACTAGCACACACTTTGAAAACTTCACAATCATGTATTTCATATTTATATCAGGCTAATATTAAAAGGTTCCGATTTCTGAGAAGGAAATATAAAGGCAATTATGCCTCAGAAATGCTATTATTTTTATTTCTTAAAAGCTTTTTCAATTTTGTTGTATTTTATTCATTAGCCAATTACTTAAACCATCTTTTTCATCGGTTGCTTTTTGACAATAAGCACAGTTATAGTGAATGAGATTTTTTGTACGGATGCCAAAACACTTCTTTGATTACATTTTTCTACTTTTGTGACAAATTATTTCACATTCATCGCTACTTTTGTCGGATAAAAATAATCTTAACATTCTTAAAAATCAATATTTAAACATTATAAAATTCGTTTTTGTCCTTTCTTAAGAAATTAATATTTATGTGCCCTTACGTTTAGTTTTCATTTAGACAAAATGACAACATGAAAATATAACTTCACATGGGTCTGCAAAATCTGGTTTTACTTTTGCTTAATATGCTGTTATTGTATTTTAGGTCATGTAATACCATGAAATATTTTTGATACCTTTTTTTACAAACATGTATACAATAGAGATAACAGGTCATTTTAAGAATGTCAAAAACGACAAAAATGGAATGATACAGGCTCGTCTGATTCAGCCTGTTTATGGAAAGAGCTCTGAAGCGCCAGCTACCTTTCACGCCCCATAGCACCGTCTAATCTCTTAAAATGTGCATCAGTTTTAAAGAACAGTTCAATATGATATGGTGAAGAAAAAATAAATATTATACACATCACTCATTAAAATATT